CATTTATCTAGGTTAACTACGACTTAACTTCGACTTAACTATGAAGGCAATAATTCATCCCAAAGACGATGTTTTTTGGCCCTCATGGATGTTCATTAAACCTCATCAACTTCCATTAATAATTGATTGCTAAAGTATTTTAACCAATTTTTAACTCGATTTCGTTCTTGTACGAGTTTTATTAATTGTGCAGTGTGCTTTTAAAAACTTCTATGTAGTTTACTCGAATTCCCTTGTGACCGTAACATTAAAAATTGCCGGCAGTTACTGTTGTTATGTTGAAAAATTAACGGTTCGTTTTGCTAGTTGGTTTTTATTTCTGTTGAAAATCTTCACACCAGAAATCTGGTAGTTAGTGTGAATCATTTAATTTATTTATTATAACTTTTCATAAGTTTGGAAAAATGAGGATTTGAAATCTATTACATCATTGGTACGATTGATTCTATATTTCAGGTTTCCTTTAAATAAGAGTTCTACATGTCTGTTAATCTATTTTTTATAAGAATTATAAAGGTTTTGATGATTATACAGGGTGTCCCCAGTGGCGGCTCGTGACTATTGCAAGTGAGGAGGCTAATTACAGTATAGGATTTCATGAAATTCCACTAAGATTTCAATTTCAAAATTCCATATTTTTTTTTTAACAAAATTTTACCACTGAAATATCCTGGTATTCCACAAAATTTTCATAAAATTCTTTGGAATTTCATGTAATTTCTTAAAAATTTCTCGGAATATATTGAAATTTTATGTTATTACATGGTAATTTTTCAGAATATCACCGAAATTCCATGTTTTTAGTTGAAAATTCCTCGGCATTACTGAAATTCAGTAAAAACTGAAATTTCATGAAGGAATTTCGGTGTAATTTCATGTTATTGTTTAAAATTCCTCCATGTAATTCATTTAGGATTTCGTGTAATTCGATCGGAATTTCACTGAAATTTCAAGTAATTCGAGAGAAATTAAAATTTAATGTGAATTCTATGAACACTCCGCAAAAATTTCACATCTAATTCATTTTTCAGAATAACATAATTATTCTACCGAAATTCCACTAAATTATGGAATTCTGAGATTTTAATAGATTTTTGGGGATTCTAAAGGATATTTGGGAATTTTAAAGGAAATATTTTTCAGAAATGTCAATGATTGGGTTTCAAATAACCTATAAATCGAGATTTGATAAAAACATATGGCAACGCTGCTCATGATACAAGGCCTTGGTTTTTTTTGACAGTCGATATAAAATGGCGTCTTTTTGTTTCAAAGATTACGATCCGCAGAGTCGAAATATTAAAATCAGTTGACAATGAACAAGTTCGTATAATTCCGGCCCTCGGGCTCGTATAAACTCGGACTTTCGGGCTCATGATTAAAATAACTCCGGCCTATCGGGCTCGTATAACTCCAGCCCTTCGGGTTCGCATGATTTCGGCCCTTCGGACTCGTATTACCTCGGCCCATTGAGCTCATAATTGAGATGGTATCTTCAGCCTTCCAGAATCGAGATTCGAAAAAAAACATATGGCAACACTGCTTATAATACAACAAACGTCGTGTTTGACTACTTTTTACGTATTCGCCGTGGCTGAATCTATATGCCCATGTTGTTTTTTTTTTAATTTTGACAACTGTCAATGTCAAAAATGTTTACCTTTTCTTTTTTTCAAAAAACAAATGTCAAAAAACGATCCCCAAGGTCCGAAAACCCTAAATTAAGAAGTTTCATCGATATATGTCAAAAACCAACCGCCTGGCAACGTCGAACGTCTTTTTTGACATATGTAAAAAAAAAAAAAATTGGTACTTCCTACGTATTTGCCGAGGCTAAATCTATATGCTCATTAAAATTTTGACAGCTGTCAATCTCAAAAAAAAGATTCTTTTGTTTTTTCCAAAAAACAAAGGTCGTTTTTTAGTGGGTTTTAGGGTGAGATTTATGTAACAACAGTTAGTACAAAAATTCAATTTCCCGTCGGGTTTGCAATTCGAATTTTTGAATTTTCCCGGCTCCTGATTGGTTTGAGGATTCGAATTTTGTTTATTCCCGGCTTTTGATTGGCTTTAAAATAATCTATAATTTCGGCCCTTCGAGCTCGAGATTTGAAAGAAAAACATATGGCAACACTGCTCATGATACAACAAACGTCAAAGAATTGAAATTTCAAACCTTGGGTTTTTTTGACAATCGATACAAAATGACGTCTTTTTGTTCCAAAAAGTACGGCCCGAAGGGCCGGAGTATGAAAAATCAGTTAACAATAAACGGGTTCGTTTGGATAAAACTTTTGTCGCACGAGACTTTGGCAATATTGATAAATGTCACCTGTCAAATTTGACACATGTTCGTCTTTTTCCCAGCTCTACTATAAAAGCTACGAAAATCGCGAACAAGGCAGTTTCGCGACGCTAACTATCGATTTGTGTTTAAAAAAATTGACAGCTGTTTTTTTTTATTTTGTGAATTTCGAGAAAAAAAGTTATAAAAAACGATCCCCGGACCCCAAAAACCTTAAATAAAAATTCCAAAAAAAAAAAACAACGAAAAGGATATTCCAAAACCTACTTGATAAAACTAAAGTTTTTCTCACTTACTCCGTTAAAACACTGGAAATTTTTGGTGGAAAATGAAGAAAACTCAAAGCCTCGTACTTTAAATCGGTTTTTCCGACCAGAAAAGCCCTGGAAAAGCGGACAAATTCAAAGAAAAACCTCTAAAAATGACATTCCAAAGCCTACTTAATGAAATTTGAGTTTTTGTCACTTACCCCATTGGAAAACTGAGAATTTTTAGCACAAAATGTAGGAAATTCAAAGCCTCGTATTTCAAATCGGTTTTCTTGACTGAAAACGGCTTGGAAAAGCGGAAAATTCGAGGAAAAACTGGATAGAAATGTAAACACGTCAATTAAAAATTGCCGACTGTCAAAACTGGCAAATGACATTTATTACAAAACCTATTTGAAGTTGGTACAAACGGTGTTGCCACATCAAAACTTCTAAAAAAACCATTTTAAATGGGATTTTGTTATTTAGGTCATTTTAAAACTGGACATTTTTGCTAGAAAATGAAGAAAACTCAAAGCCTTGTATGTTAAATTGCCTTTTTCTATTGAAAAGCCCTGGAAAAGTAAAAAATTACAAGGCGTCACTTCAAAATGGCTAACTAAAAGCAATGTTGCCACATCTCATTTCGGAAAACAAAAATAACATTTTAAAAGGGTTTTTTGTTTAAAATACAATTTAATAATTAATTAATACCAGGGTCGGACTGGCCATAAGGTCAGGGCGGCATTTGCCACCCGGGCCCTGGCTTGTGCGGGCCCCTCTCGGATAATATTTTTGTTTATATAAATAAGTCAGGCTTCAGGCTGCTTGACTCCACCAATCAATGCGCGCATGCACATGTATCGAACGAGTTAACATTGTAACAGTGGTCTTTTATCGTGCGTCCCCACAATTATTATCGTACAAATTGGCAACACTGACTACTGACTCGATTGGCCAAACAGGCGCAAGCTAGCGAGGGCTAGCCAATCAAGTCAGCCGCCATTACGCAAATCGCGCGCGTGCCGATTCTCGATATCCTATTCTAACATGTTTCATGTATTTCCGTATTTGTTTAGTTCATTTGCGGCAACACGTACCTATGTCATTAGTGTTTTGTTATTGTTCATTAACTATCGTGTACCGTAGCTGTTTTCAGCTTCCGATTTGTGAACTGTGAACTCACAAATAAATTGTAAAGCACTTCAATAGGTAGTGACAAGCTCGAGTGCGGGACTTTGGTTTCCCCTCGGAATAAATTATACCTTAATAATATATAACAATGGAAAAAGTAAGTATCTTACACTCTAGTATAAGTACCTATATTTTATGAATCTCTGAGTTTCCAAGACATTGACAGTAGCGACGTCAGGGAGGGGCCAGAGGGGACCGGGGCCCCCACTGAAATTTAGCCGGCCGCTCCTGAAAACTTGAAAGTTGCTCTCATGTCAGCAACAAGGCAATCAGCAGCCTCTGCCGGTTGATTCGGTGTTCGGTGGACACAGACCAAGAATCGTAAACTATCAGGATTGCTTATCCTCATAAGGCGTACGTTCACCAATTCTCGAGTCCGCAGGGCCTGCGAGTGACGTCACTACTAATTAGCAGCATAGCAAGCCGCATAGCAGTTTATAGTGATGACGTCACCCGCAGGCCTCGATGGGATGCTTGCGGTTTAGGTTCTGCTTGTTTTTTCGTCGATTTTAAAAGTAGAAAAAGTGATTTTAACAATATTATAATGTTTAGGAATTCATTTTTTTAACCTATACTGTTTTGAACTCGGCTAATGCATTTTACGCCAAGTTTTGAGGTCTGAGGCTTAAATGGCAAACATTTTCAGATCAATAAGTCCTATTAGGTTAAGTGTTCTTGGGCACAGGTAACCGATATGTTGCTTTCACTTTCCTGGGATTTCCTCAAACATATTACTGTCGATAGGTACTTCCCATTTTTTATTCCAAAGAAGAGTAATAATAAAATGAAAACAAGTGCCCCCCTATTTTTTTTTGGCCCAGTCTGGCCCCTCCCTAACATGGAACCCTGGCGTCGCCACTGAAAATTGATACTAATTATTCAATTTTCAGTCACACTCAACCGCGTACAAACACAAATCTGGTTCTGAAAAACGGAAAAATAAAAGAAAGATTGAATTACAAGCGGCGGCTTCGAATCCAAAGCAGTCCAGGCTCTTTTTCTCAACTGCACCTAAAGTTCTTGAAGATCCTCAAAATCGAAACGGAAAAGAAAGAAACGCAGGTTTGTGACACACAGCTAGACATGCCTCTGGCATCTGAATCTATTTCTCATGATGGATTTCAATGTTAAACACACACGTACACACCACGCACCCATATAAGTAAACCTACACACCGCACACCATTTTTCCACTTTTCAAATTATTGAACAAAAAACTCCGATATATTTCTGTCAACTGCTTGTTGTTTTAGAGGAATCATCTGAATTACAACTACAGTCGACTTCGAACCAGCAATCCAGCATTGTGTCGTGTGGAGATAATTCCGAGGTTAATTCTGAACAGAACTCAACAGCGGCGGCTGTTGCGAAGATCAGTCATCACAACATCGAACCAACAGAAAATGCAATCATTTCTGATACTGATGAACCAATTCCGTCAGTTTCTAGCGATACCAGAGTTACAGTAGTGAATGTCGATGGCGTCGAGCCACTTACATTCACAATAACAGACGAAGGTTCAAAAGAAATCGGAAACCTTTCTGAATTTGCTCCTCCCAGAGAAAAATGCCACCATTGCGGAAAAAATTAGTTTCTTGTCTGTCCACCCAATCCAGCTTGGTGATAAGAACAGCTTGCCTTTTGATGGAAGTCGAGTTTACTATAGAAAACTACCAACAGGAACCCTAATCCGGAGAGAATCAGTGTCTTATTCTCTAGAATTAAATAAGATCTTTTGTACCGCTTGCATGTGCTTCGCGCCTGACGTTACGAAAAAAGAACAAGGAGAAGGAGGAAGAAGTCCGTTCATTGATGGTGTCACTCCGTCCAAAAAACATATATATGAATAACTCATCAAGCATGACGAAAGCCACAATCATCGAGTTGCTGTGGTTGCCTTGTTAACAGCAAAAAAGAAAGGAAATGTTGAACAACATCTGTGTTCAAGGTCATTATCAACACGGCGCTAGTTAGAATAGATGAAAAATTCAATTGCAACGAGCATTTAATGAAGGATGCCGCTTGTTTGGATCCGAAAAACTTATATGATATTGACAAAAACGGACTTCCTATGGACGCATTAAAGTCAATCGCATCATTAGCCAATATTGATCGAGAATTACTGTCAAAGGAACTCGAATCTTTTGCGAAAAGTTTCAAAGAACTTTCTAAAACTATTTGGGATCAATGCGTTTTATCTCGAGAGCAACATACAAATGATTCAGATTCTCAGAGTGAGGAAGAAGACGAAGAGCAGGACGAGATCGGCGATAGCTGCTTGTCTACAAGCAGTCTACCATGTAAACTTTTGTCTCAATACAACATGCACATAAGTACATACTCCAACTTATATGTAGCTTATTGTGCAATCCTCACAATCTCATTCACGCAAGTAACTTGTGAAAGACGATTTTCCTCACTAAAACGCATCAAAACGAGGCTTCGTTCTCTACTAGGGCAAGAACTGCTAGATTCGTTGATTATCCTGAATACTGAATCGGATCTTATCAAGGATGACGAGGATGGCAGTTTTTACGAACGAGTTATTGACAGTCTGGCTGAAACATCTCCTCTTTTAAAAAAAAAATGTATTGGCTAATTTTGGATTTTATAAATGTATATCTTTGACAATAAAAACATCCAAAAATTCTTTCCTACTTGATCATTATCATAATTTGGCTTGTTGGAATTGTTGGTCGACATAATGCTTCCTAGGCGAGCAGCGGGCCCCTTAAGTCGTTATGCCACCCGGGCATCTTAGGCCCAGTCTGACGCTGATTAATAATAATTAAAATTCCCCAAATAAGAAATTTGTTTTTAGTTTAATTTCAATGAAAATGACATTACAAGGTTTCCTTATTGATTATAGTGAGTAAGACAAAGTCGATGATAAAGTAGTATATGTTTGCAAAAACCACCGTTTTCTGAAAAAACTAAAAATCTTAAGAAAACCAACATTCCAAAGCCAATTTGATAAAACTAAAGTTTTTGAATATTCCCGACTCTTTGATCGAACGCTAAAAATCACATTTTAAATACTCCCGGATTTCAATTAGCTCTGAATTATCCGCTGACCAATAGAATTATAAACTAGGCCCCGTAATTTAAAAAAACTCTAGCCCTTCGGGCTCGCGTATAACTCCGGCCCTTCGGGCTCGCGTATAACTCTAGCCCTTCGGGTTCGTATTACTCCGGCCCTTCGGGCTCGCAGATAACTCCAGCCCTTCGGGCCGGTATTATTGAATATCACAGATATTTGTCGTGGAGGCGCGGCATTGATTGAAATTATGTTGTCAGATTTTTCTAAATTACATTGAAATATCGAAAATTGGAAAGTGTAATTTCTTAATTATTATTTTAATTAGAAATCAGGAATAAAAAATTGAGATTGAATTTTCAATTTTTTGGGGGAGGTTTAGCCTCCCGTGCCTCCTCTGACGAGCCGCCACTGGGTGTCCCAGAATATGTAGGCAATCTCTCGGTTTCAGATAGAATACAAAAAAATAACATGACAACTTCCCATGAAAAAAATTACAGGAAGTATTTTGAAAGTTATCAACAAAAAACCGATTTTTAGAGGCATCCTTTAGGGACACGTACCTTCGTAGGGGGGGCCGTAGGAATTTTTTTTATAGGAAGTTGTCATGTTATTTTTTTGTATTCTATCTCTCGGATTCGAGTGATTGCCCACATATTCTGGGACACCCTATATATCAGAATTGATGCATTTTAATTAATTTATTCTATCGCGAATGGTAAACTATCATTTAATCGACTCAAAACTCGTTGTTAAAGTAACACTTTATTTGAAGTAGTGAAATCGAACAATTTTTACCCACTCATTTGTCAATTTTACCCACTCATACGTCAATTTTACCCACTTGTTCAAATCTTTTATAATAATTATAGTGTTTTTGACAGAAATCTGTTATGTTGCATGATTGACAACACCAGAAATGTGTCAGTTTGTTACGTACTTTGTCAACTTATCATAATCTATGTAAAATTTTAGCACATTTTAGCTTATGATTTTAGTAAATGTGATAAATAAAGTTGCTCAAGAATAAAATAGAATATTACACACGATGGTAAAAAAGCTTTACCGTCTTGTATAATAAATAACTATTATTAAAGATAGGAAGTAATTTTTTCAAAAAGACCAACGACCTTTTCCATAAAAATATAAAAAAAAAATGAACTCTTATCGTGAAAGTCAAGTTGAAAATTAAATTTTTGATAGAGAAACTGAAATCGAATGATATTTATTGAAGTAAAACCTTTTTGTTTTTGCCAAAAGTGAAGTTATAAAAACCCAACTGATAAAAGATACTTTTAACATCTGCAGTACGGAAAGCATTGTTTTTCATTACTGTTTCTCTTCTATTTTACTGTCTATGAGTGGTGGTTTTATGTTTGGCCTCATGTTTTTATACAAATACAAAATGAAATCCTTTTTTATTCGACCCAAATTTTCATATATTAAAACTTACTTTTTTTTCTAGCTCAGCGAAGAAGTGGGTTACGTCCTCTACTCAGCTTTGGGTTCCTTCTACATCCCGTCCTGCATTATGGTCTTTGTTTACATCCGGATCTATTATGCGGCCAAGGCGCGTGCGCGTCGTGGTATCCGGAAAACGCCACGGCGCCCTGCGGCGGCGCTTGACACTAGTTTTACAAATTTGCAAACGAAAAACGGTAAGTTGAAGAAACATCACAAATTATTTTAATGTTGAGTATATATATTTTCATCCATAACGATCATTGATAATTTGATAATTATTGATAGTGTTTGAATATTGGTTTTGAAAATGATTCTTAATAACGTTCAAAAAACGTTCAATCTATGATTTTTTTATAGAAACATACTTTTCCAAACCTATAAAAAATGTTCTTTGACTGTTTCTAACGAAGGTTTTTAAACCAACTCAAATCAGACGTTTATTCCTGTTGGTTTTAAAAACGTCCTACGTAGTTTCCACAGCTTCGTATCGTTCGCCTAACTGCTTTGTCGTGCAAGAAAGTACTACTTTGCGCACTTGTTAGGAAAATAGCTATTTACATCTTCTGAAGAGTGCACGCACGATAGTAGAAAAACATCTTTATAAAGTATATTAAGTATATCAACTACTTTTCATAAAGAATTTGCTTATTTTGGATGCATTAAAGCGTTTTACACCCAACATTTTTTTAGGAGGAAACAATAATCCGGTCGTCCGAGTGGACAGTGCCGAACCAAGACAGATTGCGACGATCGAAGTGGTACCGTCAGTTCCTGCCACCATTCCGACTGTAACTTGCGACTTGGCCAGCGATATTTCGACTAGCGATCACGCCAACGACCAGCTGAAAGAGGGAGGACAGCAGGAACTCACAAAGGATACTTTGAAGGTAAATAAGGAATAAGGGCCGGAAACTAAGTGTTGGAATTTTCTCTAAATCGTGTTTAAAAGCGCGTTCTCATAAATCGATGTTGGTTGACCAATAAATGGTTAAATATCAATTTCCTACGTGTACTCAGGAAAGTCAAACTGATATACTTGTAGCAAATCTGTTTATTAATATCTTAGCAGAGCGCTTTCAGCCTCCCGAAATTATAAAGTCAGTTGAAACAAGGTAAAGGTAATTTGCTACTGGTGGCTGACTAGTGACAATGCATTTCTTATGAAAATATTCAGTTATCAGTTGTAATTTACCTTTACCTTGTTTCAACTAATTTTGTAAATACTATACCCACTTAAAGATTCAAATAAAAATTTAATCAGGCAAAAAGAATTATTGATTTCAGAGAATCTTCAAATAATTATGTCCCTAATGAAAAGGTTCATTTTTCTGAGGTTTTAGAACCTTCTCTGAGTCATACTCAGCCTGAAGTTGTTATTCATAATCAGTCTCAGTGACCAGTGCGACTATTCTTGAAACAGGTGAGAAGGAGTACTCGCTGGGGAGTGACACAGAGTGAGTTTTTCCCTTATTTCTCATCCATTTGCATAAAAATAGTAGGTATTCTTAAGTTTGGGGGAGTAAGATAAAAATGGGACACTATTGCCAAATTTCGGGTGAGAATTTTGACCAATCAAAACACAGATTTCAAATGACAATCAACTGATTTGTGGATATATAACCTCATTTTGTTTCACAGGGTTTTTTGGGTTAGAAATTCAAGAATAAGTACATTTGTCATTTTGGGGGAGACACGCTCACTTTCACTGAAATATCGGGCAATACTCTCTCAATGAGATTTCAAGAATAGTCGCACAGAAGTTAGTAGGTATGTCCGTTCCAAAAGTTTTAGATACTTTCAATAAAACTACTGAAACTAGATCAGGTCGCACTGCGACTGCGCTGTTAAAAAACTTGAAAAATTTAACTTATATGTTATTTATCTTGACACTTTAATAGTCGATACTCTTTTAACAAATTACTATTTCTTTATACCTTTAGAACTATCAAAGCTTTATGTGTTTGCGGATTAATTTTATTGTGTATTCCATAGGAGGTGACCATTTGCGTAAAATCAAAAAAAAAAAAAACCTTCGGGGGTTGTTTACATGACTAGGTTACACTTCTTATCAGTCATATATCCAGAAAACCTATCTCTTTGCTCCTACAACTAAACCTTTTCGACTTTTACCCATATCACCAAAAAAACGTGCATTTGAAATACTTACATGTTTTCGAAGCCGTGGGTAAACCACCTCACCAGCATCAGTAAGTAAAAGTTATCGAATATCATGCGAGCACCATAGAGCTCAAAAATATGGAGTCTGCGCATCAAAATTTGAAAACCCATCTAGGTGATTCACTTAACCCCGTTTGACGGTATTTTTTTTTTATTATATTTTTAGATCTTCCCCTTTTTATTTTAGACAAGGTCTTGATGTCCTTTGACCCAGTCAGCTCTGCTCTGTCTTTTCATTTTAATAATTCTTATAATAACACGGTGTTGTTGTATAAGTACTTGTACTTTGTGTCAAATAAGCCTAAAAATTGACACTGGAAGCCAAGTAACATTTCAAAAACTTATATAAGGAACACAAGATAGATACTTTGGGTTAAATAAATTTGCTCTGTGATTTCGCCAAACAGTCATCAGAGCTATTGTTTCATATATTAAACAGTGGAGAAGGGTTGGAGGTTGCCAAACTTTTAAAAATTATAAATAATACTTGTGAAATTACCCCTCCGAATGAAGTATCCAAACTAGGAAATCTGAAACAAATACTTGACAAATATAGCAGTGTTTTCAGTAGAATCACTAAAGCCGTACAAGATACAGTTCTGAGTTGCCTGATTTGTCAAGAATATTCTCGCATTGATCCAACATAAATTATTTCTTATGTGCTGTATAAACCCACCTTTAATCGTCCCGGAATTTTAGTTTAAAATACATTAAAATTAACATAATTTTGTTTATGAAATAAACAATCTATTTATAATAATTAAGCTTCACTCACCTGTCAAGAGATAGCGCTGAGAATTAACATGTGTAGGTATTCTGGATATTTTTGCTCGTCGGAAATTGACCAAGCAGACGGCCTACGTCCGTCATCAACTGTTCAGCTACCTCAGGACAGGTTTAATCAGGCACAGGACAAATAACATTACTAATTTTATTAATTATTCAGCCCAGCACAAGTCTAACCAACAAAACATGACTAAACGTTTACACCACGAACAATAATCTTCCCATCTCAACCTAACCTCAAAAACTAAACCTCGGCAATTTCCCACTTGTCAAACAAGACAAGAGAGAGATGTGCACGAAGGAAAAGGATAGATATGATCTGGGATCGCAGTCCCTACACACTCCCCTCCCAGTGAACACGATATTTAAAAAACTGAGAGTAACAAATAACTAGGAAACTAATTTTCAAAAGACAAAAGTTATACATAAGTAGTTATTCATGTATAGAGAATTGAAGTTAGTAACTAAATATTTAGGGTTATACAATATAGGTAGTTAAAATACTTGAAATATTATCCAATAATAAATGAGAAATACATCAAAATCTTAAGCTAAAGAAAATATTATTGTTTAAGGTTTAACATTTGGCGAGAAAGTTACTTTTTTTCGAGAATAAGTTCTAAGAACAGGCTGAGCAAGAGAGCTTTCAGAAGAACTCAATGGGCCATCAATTTCGTCAGGAATAAAGAAGGCTGGCTTTAATAAGTCAATTGAAATGCTTTTAGTCTTACCATTTATGTCAATGTCAAAAACTTGATCTGATACTCGTTTAAGAATTTTATGAGGTCCAGTGTAAGGTCTTTCGAGAGCTTTCTTGGCCATATTTCTTAAAAATACATGAGTACAATTATAAAGATCTTTAAAATAAAAAATTCTGTTTTTATATTTATGCGCAACCGGCACAGGTCGAATTTGACGCATATACTCTCGAAATTCTTCTATAAAAATATTTGGGTCTGGAATAATGTCATCTGGAAGAGAAAATTCTCCAGGGAGACGCAAAGTTGAACCAAAAGTAAATTCTGCCGGAGAGGCTTCAGTGTCAGCTCTAACATGAGAACGAATACCTAACATAACTGTAGATAATGAGCGCGTCCAATTGGCATCAGCATGGCACATGATGGCAGCTTTTAGCACTCGATGCCAACGCTCAATCATTCCGTTAGACTTCGGATGGTAAGGTGTAGTACGAATCCTCTGACAGCCAATTAGGGATAATAAGGCAGAGAAAATTCGAGATTCGAATTGGGCTCCTTGATCCGAAGTAAGTACCTTAGGTGTACCATAACGAAAAATCCACGAATCAAAAAATGCTCTAGCTATTGTTTGCGCCGAGGTGTCTTTGATAGGAACTGCCTCAGGCCAACGAGAGAAACGATCAATCATCGTTAGGCAATAACAATAACTCTCAGACGCAGGAAGAGGACCAACTATATCGATGTGAACTTGATCAAATCGTCCATCAGGAGCTGAAAAATGTTCAGGAAGAACTTTTACATGTCGACTACTTTTTGACTGTTGACAGTCAATACAATTTCTACACCATTTTGCAATATCACGATGCATATCAGGCCACACATAACGTTGTCGAATCATTCGGTCGGTAACTCTACCACTGGGATGAGCTGGATCATGAATTTGATGCAAAACCTTCTCACGTAGACTAACAGGGATGAAGGGTCGAATAGACTCACCTGATAATTCGCAATAAACACTAACCATATCCGGGACCCATTGTAATTTTTTAAGTTTTAAAGGATGATCCGAAGAAGCACAGATCGACTTCAATTGGTCATCATTGTCTTGAAGAGCAGCAAGTTCTTTAACGCTAAAATCAAGTGGTAACTGGATAGATTCGATTCGAGATAGCGTGTCAGCCACAGCATTCTGAGAGCCCGAAATGTGTTCTATATGGGTAGTAAGCTGAGCGATGAAGGATAATTGGCGCAATTGTCGAGGAGAGGCTTTATCAGCCCGTTGCTTGAATGCATAGATCAGGGGTTTATGATCAGTGAGTATCCTAAAATTGCAACCTTCTAATAAGTAACGGAAATATTTTATCGATTCAAAAATTGCGGTTAGCTCACGATCATAGGCACTATAGCGAGTTTGGGCAGGGGAAAACTTGCGAGAAAAAAACGCTAGAGGTTCCCAATTACCCTCATTCTCCTGTTCTACTACTGCTCCCATAGCAAAGTCGGAAGCATCGGTGACGATACGGAGATCCGCGCCAGTGCGAGGATGGACAAGTAATATGGCATTAGCAAAATCGTGTTTGGTTTTAACAAATGCTTCAATAAGCTCGTCCGACCATTCAATTTCACGTTTGTCGTTCTTATGTGAGTCCACAAATAATGAGTTCAAGGGAGCCTGAGTTTTCGCCGCATGAGGAACATTGCGACGGTAAAAATTTACCATTCCAAGGAAACGACGGAGATCGGCTATTGTTTTAGGTCTAGGCGCATCAGCAATGGCAGCAGCCCTTTCAGGAGTAGGGCGTAAGCCCTTACTACTGACCAAATAGCCAAGAAATTCAAGTTCAGGAACGCCAAGGATACATTTGCTGACATTTAAACGAAGATGAAAATCTTGAAGTCTCTGAAAAACAGTATGCAAATGCTCGGCGTGCTGCTCCGGAGAACATGAAGCTACCAAAATATCATCAATGTAAATGAAAACGAAATCCAGGTCACCTAACGCGCGGTTAATATAACGCTGAAAAGATTGGCTGGCGTTTCTAAGACCAAAAGTCATGTATAAAAATTCGAATAAACCGAAGGGTGTGATTAGAGCGGTTTTCTGAACATCTTCCGGGGCCATGGGAATCTGATTATAAGCTTTATGCAGATCCAAGGACGAAAAGATAGACTTACCATGCAGATTGACTGTGCAATCGTGCAGGTGAGGCGAAGGATATTTATCC